AGGTTTGGGGTTTTGAGCATTTGGGTGTGAAATGTGTTTTTTTGTTTTCAAAAGAGGTGTTTGGGGGGAAGGGGTGAGTTGATGTAAAGAAATGCGGGTGAGATGGGAGGGGTATGGGGGTTGTAATTAGAAATAGGGAAAGGATTTTACTGTTAAAGTAATGTTGAATTTTTTTAAAAAAATTTGAATTAAAAATTTTAATTAATGGAAAAGAATGGGGGGGGGGTTGAAACATATCGCAATATTTGGGGATTTGCGATTTAATTTTAATTTAGGGGATACAAGGATGGTATGGAGAGGTTTTTAAATTTTTAGTAGAAAAAGAAGGGGAAAAAAATTAAATAAATTGGTAATTGATGGGGTTTTGTGGGTATGTTCAAATTAAGTCCGAAAAAAGATGATATAAGTGGGTTGGGTGAAATTAGTTTAAAAAAACGATATTTCAAAGGTGTTTTAAAGGTGTTAAAGGGGTGTTTTTGTTTGAATTCAGGGGGTGTTTTTAGTTTTCATGGGTATTTGGGAGTATCAAAGGTTTTTTTTTTGGAAGTTTTTTCAGGTTTTTTTAAAAATTTTTAAAAGGTATTTTTTGGAGTATCAAATGTTTTAAAGAGTGTTTTTGAAGTTTTTCAAAGAAAAGTGCTTTTTAACTTCGTAATTTTAAAAATTGTGAGTATGAATTTAAAAAAAGGGGAGTAAGCGATGTGGTGACTTTCTGATGCTGTGTCCCCTTATTAATTTTAATAAACCCAAAGGGGTTTTTTAAAACGAAAAAAATTGGGGGGTTATGAGTAAAATTGTGAGGTTTGGTTGGAGTGTGAGGGTTCGGGGGGGGGGGAGAGGTTACTTCGTGGGGGGGTGACGAGATGAAATATGTCTAGACTTGTGTTGTAAAAAATTTTGGGGGATTTAAAAAAAATGTGCCTTTCTGATGTACTGTGTCCCCCTTTTTAACAAAGGGAGACAAATTCACCCGTGTTTCCGGACGTCACTACTATGTTCCCTTTTTACTTGAATAACTAAAAGGGCCGACCATTCAACTGTGTGCTGGTCCTTTTAGTTATTTAATTAATGAGTGGAATATGACCGCCCAGTAAAAGCTTTTTTTTGTTCTTTAAAATAAGATGGGAAACTTTTAGTTCATTTAACTTAATGAAGAAACTTTTAGTTCATTTAACTTAATGACAGAAACTTAAGTTCATTTTTAAAAATAATAAGGGGAAACTTTTTAGTTCATTTGACTTAATGGAAAGGAAACTTTTTAGACTTGTAGTAGCATGCTTATACCCAGAGGGTGGAATCCAAAAAACTTTGATCCGAGGAATTTCGAAAACCCCATAGGGGGGAATCCAAAAAACTTGATCCAAGGAGATGGAGAATTTTCGAAAAACCCCATACGGGGGGAAATCCAAAAACCTGATCCGAGGAATGGAATCATGGTAAATTGTCGAGAAATTTTTTGGGGAAGGGGGTGAAAGTGGAGGGGGATCCGAGAAGTGAGACTTTGATATTGAGACCCCATAGGGGGGATTCCAAAAAACTTGATCCGAGGAGATGGAGTCATGGTATTGTCGAGAAAATTTGGGGTGAAAGGAGGGGTACCCAAAAATTTGATCCAAGGAATTGGAGAAATTCAAAAACCCTTGATCCAAGGAGATGGAGACTTTCGAAACCCCCCATAGGGGGAATCCAAAAAATTTGATCTGAGGAGATGGAGTCTTGGTATTATCCAAAAAAACTTGATCCGAGGAGATGGAAAATCAAAAAAAACTTGATCCGAGATATGGAGACAATCCAAGAGATTGGAGAATGAGAAAACACGCATAGGGGGGATCCAAAAAAAAACTTGATCCGAGGAATTTCGAAAACCCCATAGGGGGGGAATCCAAAAACCTTGATCCAAGGAGATGGAGAATTTCGAAAACCCCATAGGGGGGGGATCCAAAAAACTTGATCCGAGGAGATGGAGAATTTCGAAAACCCCATAGGGGGGAATCCAAAAACCTTGATCCGAGGAATTGGAGAATTTCGAAACCCCCATAGGGGGGAATCCAAAAAACTTGGTAATATCGAGAAATTTTGGAGGGGGTGAAAGTGGAGGGTGATCCGAGAGAAGGGAGAGCACAAGAATAGATTCTAAAAATAATTCGACTAAATCGGAAAAAAATTCGAGGCGCGGGGGGCGATCCGGACGACGCTGCAGAAGGCGCAGCAGAAGGCGCGAAGGGGCGCGGGCGGGCGCGCGGGTGGGGCGGGGCGGGCGGGCGCGCGTGCGCGCGGGGCGGCGGGGCGGGCGCGCGGGTGCGCGGGCGCGCGGGGCGGCGGGGCGGGGCGCGCGGGTGGCGCGGGCGCGGCGCGACGGCGGGGTCGCAAGGCGGGGTCGTGGGGTGGTGGTATTGGTTGGGGGGTCAAGGGTGAGGTAGTCTCGAGGGCGAGGTCATGGTCAAAACCGAAGTAACACCTTAGGTGTGAAAAAGGTGACCCTCCAGCTGCTGGTCCTAGACCGGATACACCGCTCAGTTGAAGGCCAAACCGAAGAGACCTCCCAGTGGAAGCCCTATACCGGTGAGACCTCCCTGTAAAGGCCCAAACCGAAGAGACCCCCCTGGAGAAAACTACACAACTACTGAGAACGACATATATAATACTGCTAGGAAGATGACAATGTGGAAAAAGAAGGATTTCCAAGAGGGACACAGAAACAAGTTCACAATGGAAGTTGAAGACTCCTATTAGTCAAAGGGATGTTAGGAAGTATTTCTTCAATCACAAGTTTGTCAGGAAGTGGAATTGCCTAGAAAGTGAGTTGTGGAGGCAGAAACCATACATAGCTTTTAAGACGAGGTATACAAAGCTCATGGAGCGGGAGAGAGAGGACCCAGTACAACCATGAAGAGGCTGGACCAGGAGCTATGAATCACCCATGCAACCACAAATATGTGAGTACAAATAGTTGAGTACACAAACACGTTCAGGACCCCGTACATTCTGTACGTTAGGCCCATATTGGAGTATGCAGCTCCAGTTTAGAACTCACAACTAGCCAAGCATGTAAGGAAGCTACAAAAAGTGCAAGGGTTTGCAACAAGACTAGTCCTGGAGCTAAGGGGAATGTCAGTTCGAGGAGAGGTTCCGGGAAATCGACCTGACGACACTGTAGGGCAGGAGAGATAGGGGGAATATGATAACGACATATAAAATACTGACAGGAATCGATAAGGTGGACAAAGACCAGATGTTCCAGAGATGGGACACAGCAACAAGTTGAAGACTCATTTGAATCACAGGGATGTTAGGAAGTATTTTTTCAGTCACAGAGTTGTTATGAAGTGGAATAGTCTGGGAAGTGATGTAGTGGGGGCAGGATCCATACATAGCTTGAAGAAGAGGTATGATAAAGCTCCTGTAACAGGAATAGTGACCTAGTAGCGGCCAGTGAAGAGGCGGGGCCAGGAGCTGTGACTCGACCCCTGCAACCACAACTAGGTGAGTACAACTGAGTGAGTATATGTCTATTCGACATGTGTCTAGGACAATATGGTAACTAACACAAATGCAGCACCAGTTTGGAACCCACACCTGGTCAAGCACGTCAAGAAATTAGAGAAAGTGCAAAGGCTTGCAATAAGACTAGTTCCGGAGCTCAGGGAAATGTCCTACGAAGAAAGGTTAAAGGAAATCGGCCTGACGACACTGAAGGACAGGACAGTTAGGGGAGACATGATAACGACATACAAAATATTGCGAAGAATAGATAAGGTGGACAGAGACAGGATGTTCCAGAGATGGGACACAGAAACAAGGGGTCACAATTAGAAGTTGAAGACTCAGATGAGTCAAAGGGATGTTAGGAAGTATTTCTTCAGTCACAGGGTGGTCAGGAAGTGGAATAGCCTGGCAGGTGAGGTAGTGGAGGTAGGAACCATACAGAGCTTTAAGACGAAGTATGATAAAGCTCATGGAACAGGGAGAGAGAGGACATAGCAGCGACCAGTGCTGAGGCGGGGCCAGAAACTGAGTCTCGAACCCTGCAACCACAAATAGGTGAGTACAAATAGGAGAGCACACACACACACACACACACACACACAACTCGAAAAGTGAAAATAATATATACAAAATTTAATGCACTAGAAATCACCCAAGGAAGTCCTCTATAGCACAGGTATTTAAATCAGACGATACTTATTAAGTGTCACAGGAGGAATTTAAATGATTACGTGAATGTTTTATTTCTTTTCTTTTTTCTTCCCTCTACTTTACGTTTTTATTTCTCTCATATCTCGAGAAAGCCGTATCCATTCGGCTTCAAAATTTCAACACTTGTGTACGGTAACTAGCGTCAAATTCTAGGAACAACTGGTACGTGTCCTATGACTAAAGTTGTTGAACCCATTCACAGCATCCTGGAGTGGCTTAGATAAATTTCTACAGCTTCAGTGGTGGAGCTTCAGAAGTTCAAGAAAGGTTCCTCCTAATTTGACGACGTGAAGACTGAAATTTAGAGATGTAGGTGTGCAGCTTAAGCTATTTTGTGTGGAAAATAGTGTGAAATTTTTGTACCCGTTAAATCAGGCTAAATAAATTTCACTTTACCTCTTCTAAACGGCTTAATATTTAACGGCTGATGCATCTTGCAGTCAGGATAGTAACCATTAAGTTTTGTTTTTGCGTGCTGACAAATTTGTCTCTGTAGTAAAATAGTCCAGATTATTTGGAATGTTTGAAGTTTCTGCCATAACTGGAGAATAACGTTTCTGATCGGCTTCGAACTTTCACCACTGGCACATTTTCCTGAAGGTATGAGTCGTGTTGTTGGTGGCACAAGTCCAGTTTACCAATTTTATTGAATGCTTGTTGATATTCATTTATATTAGATAACTAGAGATTATTTCTTTTGATCAGCTACACTTATTCAGGAATTTTTGGTGGGAACGGCAAGAAGTGGCAAGAACTGCGGAGGTTCGTACTGCGCCACCTGCGGGACGTCGGGTTCGGTAAAACCAGCTGTGAGCCTATGATCGTGGAGGAGGTGATTGAACTGATGGATCACATCCAGCAACAGAAGATGATGTGACTGGTGAGGATGATAGATGATTGGGGTGATGGTGACGACTTAAGATGCGTTCATTATTGTTGGCTGTGACAGTATGTTGTGATGATGATGAGAACTAAGTGTGCCTCAGTATTATTGTTGTGTTACATCACCACACAACACACTGCACAACTCACATACATCAAACACACAACCTTAAGACAAGGTAATCTCCAACTCTCGTCAAGCACCCAATCTTCCTTGTACAAGACTCTTCACATATAAGAGAAATTTATATAATTCCTATTCAATGTTTGGGTTATTTGTTAAGTGCTCCAGCCACGTTATTGTAACGTTTATTCTAAAAGTCACTTAGCTTATCTTTACAACTCGTCCTGTAAAGCTACAGCTTCCAAACAAGTGTTTGGAGAGCCTTCTTCTTTACTATACTTGCAATGTGGAGGAAAATAAAAGACACATATACTAAGCCTATATTCACTTCATTAGCCTAATGAAAACTTACTCTGTTATAGGTGTCCTTATGTTTCTCTCCTTCTCTGTATTGTGCGTTTAAAACACTTTCGGACATACAACAGTTTAAGGCTTTGTTATACCGACTTTTTTTTCTCAAGGAGAAACTTTGTCGGGTTATAGTTAAAAAAAAAACATTATAGCAAAAGAGACCATTTTACAACGATCCAGGCCATATCGCAATAATTAAAAAGTCGCCCTTTGCTATACGCATCTCTGTTTTATCAACTTAGTCGCCTCACAGACATACTCCAACTATCTAATCAAATTTTCTTTGATAAAGGGTAACTTGAGGGAAACATAACAATGTCCTATGCTGGTTTATGTTTCTCCAACCATCCCCCAATGTGTATCCTGCAGCGTCTGTTCAATCGGTCTGTGGTGAACGTCGTGTGGAGAACTGTGATGGGGAAAAGATTTCCCTATGACGACGCCGACGTTGCCAAAGTCATTGAAACCTTCTTGCAGCCGGCTGATACGAACTTGCTTCATCCTCTCTTCTACATCCCCGGGATGGCGAAGGCGGCCGTATACCTACCCATATGGAGAAACGCCACGAAGTCCCTCAGAGACCTCACAGCTTTCATAAAGGTAAAATACCTTGGAGGTACAATTCGTGACTCTTCTAAATATTTTTAAGATGAAATCCAAATAGCGCACAATAATGAAGAAAAGACATGTTACAGAACAAGCTTTTATTAGCGGATAGAACTTTATAGTTATGACTATAAAGCTCTATCCAAAAAGACAGAAAAGTCGTCTATAGCGAAGGTTTGCACTGCACCAAGTGTCTTGCCATAGAAGCTTGTTCTGCATCCTGTCTTGGTGAACATTAAAATTTGCGCTCAAGTCTTCAAGGTTCACAGTAGATCACTATCGATTTGTATAAGTGCACATTGCTTAGGTTGGAAATTGGAATAAAGTTAAGCATATGAGCGTAAGTATATTTTAATGTTAAGAATGTTTCATTATTTTTATTATTATTATTATTATTATTATTATTATTATTATTATTATTATTTATTTCTTCCCAGGGAGAAGTTGAGAATTTCATATGCAGTGAAGACTGCGACGTCAATCATTCGTTAGCTTCTCTCTTTCTTAAAGAAATACAAAGTCATGCCGGAGAAAAGTCATTCTTCAACAGTAAGTGACATCATTCCTTCCCTTATTTGATGCAACAAATATCTGATAAATAACATACAATATATAATCAATTATGCAAAATTATTTCGTGTGGGTCGAGTCTTGATACTTATATGATAGGTCCTTCTGTATCTTTTAAATATTGTGTACCATATTATGTAAAAAAATATACCTATTAGTTTAATATATATATATATATATATATATATATATATATATATATATATATATATATATATATATATATTATATATATATATATATATACAGTAGGAGGGCCCCACTTATACGGCAGGTCAGGTTCCATGCTACAGCCGGAAAGCAAACATCGCCGAAAAGCAGAACGCCATTTTTTCCACTTATAAATGTATATAGATGCCAGATAAGTTTACACTAACATATATTAAGTTAGCAGTAGAACTCAGCATTAAAAACAATAAAAAGTAAAATACACACACAATACACCCATTACTAATCTTAAAATATTTGTAGTCTTAATGTAGGGTGAAAGGTGAGTTCTGTTTGTAGGAAGTCAGGTTTGGGAGGTATTTTAGACAGCCAGGCCAGCCCACCCTACCCACACGTAATATACTACGACATTTAATTAAAGCTCTCCACAGCGATAAAATACATATACAGTACATTCATTAATAACCTTAAAATATTTTTAGTCTTAATGTAGGGTAAGAGATGAGTTACATTTGTAGGAAGTCAGGTTGGGAGGTACGGTAGCATGCCAGGGCAGCCCACCCCGCCCACACGTAATGTAAACAAACCATTAAAGCGCGTCTTGTTTTCAATTCAAATTCAATTCAAAGTTTATTCTCTATAAGGATTACAATGCTGAGTTTACAGAAATTTGGTTATTGTTTGGTTTACATGTAGTAAAATTGTGATTACAGAGTGTACCACTAGAACGCTTAACATGGCTAGGCATTTCGGGCATACTTAGTTTTATTCTTAATTGTAAAATATTACAAATTATGAGGTAAGTTGGTATTATGGCTAAGTGACTAAATACTAGTTTGTGAGTTTAGCAATGTGAATGCTTTTGTTTTGGCACAGTACATAGTTTCAGTATTGGAGTATCACAGGATTCATTATTTTAAGACTGAGATTAATATTTCTGTTTATGGTCAAATGAGTGAGTGAGTGTAAGTGTGAACCACCAGGTGGTATTCGTGTAGTTAGTTGACAGGGTGTATCAGGGAGATAAGATGTTTTCTAATGGTAGTTTTGAAGGTGATGAATGTGTCTGCAGTTCTAGAGTTCTCAGGTAGGGTATTCCAGATTTAGGGCCTTTGACATACATTGAATTTTTGTAAAGCTTTAGTCGGACACGGGGAATGTCGTAGAGATGTTTGTGTCTGGTGTTATGCCTGTGGGTTCTGTCACAACTATCAAGAAAGCGTTTTAGGTCAAGGTTGATATTAGAGTTTAAGGCCCTGTAGATATAGATTGCACAGTAGTAAGTGTGGATGTACTGAACTGGGAGTAAGTTTAGATCTATGAAGAGTGGGGGGGGTGTGTTGCCAGGGATGGGATTTAGTGATTATTCTTACTGCAGCTTTTTGTTGGGTTATTATTGGCTTTAGGTGTGTTGCTGCAGTTGATCCCCAAGCACAAATAGCATAGGTGAGGTATGGATAAATGAGTGGTATAGTGTGAGAAGGGCATTTTGCGGCACGTAGTATCGTATCTTGGAGAGGATCCCAAACGTTTTGGATACTTTTTTGGCTATATGCTGGATATGGGTGCTGAAATTCAGGTTGTTGTCAAGGTATAGGCCTAGGAATTTCCCCCCATTATTTCTGGTAATTAGAGTGTTGTCAATCTTAATGTTAATTTGTGCATCTCCTGCTCTGCTACCAAACATAATATAGTAGGTTTTGTCAGTGTTAAGCGTAAGTTTATTGGCTGTCATCCAAGTCGATATTTTAATCAGCTCCTCGTTAACAATGGTGTTGAGGGTGGCAAGATTAGGGTGAGAGATGACATAAGTCGTGTCATCACTTTACATTGTGTACAAGTTATCTTCACGTTGATACGGTAGAATAAATAAAGAGAAACACTCCCATTCTCATGTAACACAATTTTTAGAAGAAATGACGCTCTGAGTGACGGCATACGAAAGGGAAAATTTTCTAGTTACGTCTAGTAATATTAAAGTGTACACATTTTCTCTGATGTGGACTACAAGTTGCCTGGCTACCACAAGTCCTACAAGTTGCCTGGCTACCACAAGTCCTACAAGTTGCCTGGCTACCACAAGTCCTACAAGTTGCCTGGCTACCACAAGTCCTACAAGTTGCCTGGCTACCACAAGTCCTACAA